CGGCCGACTGAGCAAGCCACTGTAGCACCATGATAGCGTTCTCGCGGAACACATTCGTCACCAGAATTGCAGTGTGTGCACTATCCTGCATAAACATTGAATCTTGATCGAGCTGCTGTCGGTAAGGAATTACCATGAGTTGCTCAACTTCGTCGCAGTATCCTTCCGTATTCAAATTGCGTTGTGTCCAAACGAAATCAGTTCTTCGACCCAGGCGTATTCCTCCTGTAGCCTTGTAAAAAGGAAATTTGGAAACGGGATTAAGAAGAGAGATAGAAACAAAACAAAAAAAGGTTCAGACAAAGACATATGAGGTATAAATAAACAATTAGTATAAATATAGGAGAAATATTGTGTTTTTATACAACACCAAAATTGTCGTATTATTTTCTAAAATAAATTACAAATAAAATCCTAGTATATTTTCATGAATAGTGTTCCACCCCTGGGTTGTGAATATTCCAAGGATTCGCACGAGCGTTAAGCGTTACGCTGAAACATTTGTAAGGCGAACGGCCATGGAGTGGATTTTCGTGCTCGCAAATTTATTCCCAGAAAGTTATAAATTGGGCGTTTCCAAGGCGAGAGTGAATAGGCATTATTCAGGTGTGCATGCTCCATCGTCGACTTCATCGTTACTTACCATTTATAAATAAATGCCCATTTATGTTATAAAAAAAGTACTGACGCTCTTAGTTGTAAATTAGCTTTTAGCCCTAATAGCAAATTTTTTCACGACGACGATACTATTAATAACAACGGCATTACCCTAGAGCAAAAAGCCATGCAATTAAATTGTGAAAGTATCAAAGTAAAAATGTTTTCTACGTTACAAAATTTTCGTACTTTTTTAATTGCGTGCACTGTAGACAACAACAGTACTCCATACAAGAGCGGACGTGAGCTTGAGATTAAGAAGCTACTCGGACGTAAAGTACAGTGTGACTTTGCGACATAGTGAAGCCAACTTACTTGGCTGCAGTTTTAGTAATTACTCGGCTACAGTGGCCGAAACTTAAATTGGCAGATTTTTTTTTATATCTATGGAAATAACCAAATCTGAGACGTGTATGTGGATTGAGTGAGCACCCCCTGTAAAAGGTTTAAAATATATTAGTCATTTAGTAAAAGTTCTAAAATAATTGTACAAACCAATCTTTCTATTTGTAAAAAGATAAAACAGAAAAATAACTTAATCTATGCTCATTCAGTTCTCACAGAGGGCCAGTCAGATCTACAAAAGTATTAATATTCTTGTACTAGTTTTCAGTAAAAGTTTAGTTAAACTATCGTTTTTAACTACAGATCGATTAGTGCCTTTTTCAAATTTTTACAAGTACTTTCTTATGCTCACTCAATCCGCACGCTTTTAAAAGGAACGATTTCTTAACAAGCAAATAAGAGAATTAAATTTCGTTTATGTCTAGATTTAGAAAAAGTTACATATGAATTTGTAAAACATAAAACAAGCCACTAATGTGATACGTTTTTTAATAATATATTTTTTTAAGTGCTCACTCAATCCTCCAATTTCTGAAAAGTAACAAACGTCAATATCTTTGGATTTGTAAGTATTACAGAGACTATAATTGGTAAAGTTTTAGTAGTAATTTACTACTAAATATCTGCCGTTTCAGATTTCGTTTTTATTGTTTAGATAAAAAGATATTCGTTTTTTATTATATATATGAAAATCCATAATGCAAAGTGACCACACGTTATGAAAATGCCAAAATGAACTTATTACGTAGGTACAGTATTAATATGAAGTGTTAATTAACGAGTATACTTACGTTGTGGTGATCATAACGACTTCATTATCATACAAACGAACAAATACGGGCTCAGACTCCATTAGTATATTATTGAGGTATTTATTGAATACTAGCTATAGAGACACCCGTAACGAATACTTGAGGACTCGAATCGTGACATAAACACACACGTAATCTAAGTATCGACGTGATCTGAGATTGGTACAACGATATCTATACTTACCACTAGCATTTCAAATCTTTAGATTGGGACGAATATACTGTTTATACGACGGAAAGGTTTTGTGGAAAACAAGCTACCATTTAATAAGTATGGGTACATGCATAGGTGGACATATCACCCGTGTTAAATTGTGTGGCCCAACGCTCACATGACACGTGAAGCTTATGTTTTTTGGCACTCAGCTACGGGGTCCTAAAATGTAGTGAAACCTCTAGTATTCTGTTGAAATATATGAAATTTAATGAAGTACCATTACCAAGCCTGGAGTGGAGTTTGAATTACACGTAGTGTGACTTAGAAGTTATGCCATCTAGACAGACAATTACTGATCCTAGAAAATCTTATTATATTTCTGTTAGTGTGTAGATTGAAACAAGTAACTCGTGCTATGTGTCGCGAAGATGTCGTGTGGCGCTTCGATGGCGAGCTATTATTGCGGGCGAAGAGGCGCGGCGGTGCGTGAACTCGCCCATCGCTAGAATGGCGCTTGACTGAGATTAAATTTAAACAAGGAAACATCGAAAGTTTGAGTGCAACGTTATGACCCCGCGGGGAGCGCGCGTCTATTTCTGAGACTACGAAAACATTGATGTCGCGGGCGGGAGGGTGGCGGGGTGAGGCGACTAGCTTCCCGTTTGGTAAAGTGCGAATGAAGTGATATTCAGTGCGCCCGCGTCGGTCGCGCCCATTGGTGCGCAACGCGTTGCGATTAGCAAATCAGGATATACCTTTGTCTTCTTCAAATTAACAGAAAAAACCATTTTAAAAGGTAAGACATACTCGCGAGTGGTGCGGCGACGGGGCGCGCCGCGTGCCCAAAGATAGCGTTCAAATGTTGAATGTGTTTACTAGCAGTGCGAAAGCATTATGATTATCTCAGGTTAACGAGAAAAAAGTCGTATTTCGATTTGGAGTAATCTTCTAAGAATTAATTTCGAATCAACAATAACTGTAAAACGATGAGTAAGTGTTGTACTTGTTGTTGAGAATCTTATAGGAGAATAATGCACCAATTATTTCAATTCGAAAAGCGAACATAATTGCTGAAGTCATTCTTAACAATCATAATGTATATATATTAAATTACACAAACAAAGTAATAAAAAATAGCCTAAAAATACATGGAACTAATGGGAATAATTATGACGTGCTAAGGTTACAATTGTTCCACATGGAACTGAGTACGTGGAACTACTGGGAGTAAACGGTAATAATGCAGATATTTTTTGCAGTAGATACATGAAAATTGAATAGCTACTAGAACTTGAAAAATCGACACTTCGTGTTAGATTACACTAAGTGTACCTCACGTCGTGATGTGGCGTAGACCGTATTATTGTCTTATGGCATCAGAGCTTTTCCTAAAAACGAACCGTCCCGTAGCGGGATGAGACCAAAACACCGTAATATGAAGCCTTCTAAGGTCATTCAGGGGGCCTACCACAACCTCTCAAGACAAAATTACTTTAATCTTACATTGACTTTTCGTACTATAAAGCTTGCGCTTATTATAATGTTAAAACTGTGGTGTTTTATTTGCAGCTTTGTGACTATTCATTCACTAAGTTCGGACTATGACGCGACTTTAACATTAAAGTGATATATTACTCTTAAGTCAAATTTAGCGATCTTAAACTAATTACTCGGACGCAGTGGAACAACATTATACCCGAATTCATTGCCTAAATATTGATTAAATGTTAAGTTTAACTTATTTATTTCCATAAATCTCTTCAATATTTTCTTTATTTTTGATTTAATAGTACATAGAAAATAATTTCTCGTTAAATAAAAATACGCGACGTTTATTTCGTAAAACTATGACAGCGACATCTATATGCTCATTGGCGACACTAACAGTTGACACTAGATCATAATTCCGAATTCACTACGTGGGTATGAAGACTCCGCTTGTTTTATTTATTTTTCTTTATGAAAATGTGGAAAAATAATAGGAAACGACGTAATTTTAATAGATTTCATTATTACATACTTTCTTTTTTTAACAGTTCAAATATTCTCAATGTAAATAATATTAATTACTTTAACGTTATACTACGGTAGGACGCTTCGGAATATAAAAATAAAGAGATGGCATCATATAGTTCATATAGCGTTATTTCTTTCCTATTTTTAGTAAGGAATAGACAATATTGGGAAATCATTCGTTCTTTCAGTCACTTTAACAATAATACATTACTTGGTTGACAAGTTTGTCATGGTTCGAATACGAGTAATATGATATAATAAGCTTACTTTAAGCTTACATTGAAATAAGATTGTTTTTGGAAAGGTAATGGTAGGACCCCAGGACTGTTTTTGCTTTTAAACCAGTGCGCAATATATTGACGAAGGTATCGCACATATCATATGTCTTGGGTAATTCCACCATTTCTTTCCCAGACCTTAAGAGAGTCTAGTCGCAGAAGTAACAATTCATGGGGCAGAATTGTAGCATCACTCGGATAGGCAATCTTATTTTCGGTAGCCTGAAGACGTACTTACAGTTAAAGGGATGACAATAATTTAAAGATAGGAAATGAAACGATTTTATTTGTCTAAATCGTGTCTGTTTTTTTTTCACACAAATCAACGTTACGGGCCCTTTACGGGTCCCACGGTCACGGGTGACTTGCGAAAAAATAGTTTCATTTCCTATGTTGTACTAATCGCGAAAACCCAATCTTAGGTTTTAGCGATTGTTACACATAGGAAATGAAACTGTTTTCCCGGATTTGAATCGCGTATATTTGTTTTTTTCAAACCAACTATCATTTCGTGAACTTTACAGGTCCCATTCACACATTCACAGGTCCGTCAACCGTGACAGTGTGACCCGTAAAGGGCCCGCCACTTTGTTTTGTTCGAAAAAACAAATATACGCGATTTAAATCCGGAAAAACAGTTTCAACTCGATAATAATTGGAAAAGTAAAACTACGTGTGGAGCTAAATCACAGGGGTGATTGTACTCTTGAGTATGAAGGTGATTTGGTGTCGCAGGCTCGCGAGGAGGAGCTGGCGCGGCGTCTGCGCGAGATGGAGGTGGCCGCGGCCCACGCGCCCGACGCGCGCGACCTCGCGGCGCTCAGACCCGACCTCGAGCAGGTGCGCTCGTGTCGTTTACATCTGCCGAATGTCATTACATCGACGCAGAGACCGGTTGGTATTTGAATATATTCGCAACGGCCTTTTCCCCGGCGCGTAGGCGGCGGCGAAGCTGAGCGCGCACCGCGAGTACATCAGCAGCAAGTTGGCCGCGCTGGGGAAGTTCAGCGCGCGGCTGGAGGCGGCGGGCGCGTGGGCGGCCGCGGCGCGGGCCGACCTCGACGCGGCTCGCGCGAGCGATGCCCCGCAACGCGACCTGCTTCTCGGCCAAATCACGGTCGGTGTAGCTATTTGCATGTCCGGCTCTATTCGCATTTCCGGCACCGTTCACAAGAATCACGGATGCGTTCGCCATGCAGAGTCGCGCCGGCGAGCGGGAGGCGGAAGTACGCGAAGTGCTGGAAAACTACAACAATTTGGAGCGCGAATGTGCGAGCGCGCAACAGGGTGTTGCGACGGAACTGCGCGCCGCGGCCCAGCGGCTGCGCGACGATTGGGCGGAACTCCGCGCGGCGAGAGACCCGCGGCCCGAGGCGCACCGCGGCTCTGTGGACTCGTCCCCCGCTGGTGAGTTGCTCGACATGCATGCTTTTACACCGTCACGGTTTGGGCGTCAACTAATTCAAATTCATCGGCTGGTCGCCGGTCTATTTACAAAAATCATCATCATCAGTATATCCATTGCTTCCATGAGGAGTAAGTTATACGTGACTCCCGTACAGCACGCCAACTTTCTGTGAAAAGCGTAATTTCATAATTACAAATAAATGCTTCCAATCCTATTTGCAGAAGAAGAAAACTAATAAGAGCATCCCTAAAATGCACAAATTTCTTTGATAAGGACGCTATTAGTTAACATTCCCGTGACATTCTTACATAAACAAATCTTAAAAATATATTGACATACCTTTTTCGCATAAGTCATTTGTAACTGACAATTATTACAACTGTCACCGACAGCAGATTTGAAAAACAAAGTTTAGGGGGTGCAAATAGGACGTTTTCACAACATTCCAATATAAAAATAATTTCGTAACATAAGTTCAAAACATTATACCGGCAACACCTACTCTCGCTAGAAAAAAATCTATCTGGTCGAAGTAACTAATGGTCATAGTCTATTTACTGTTTTCTGACGCTTTTCTAGAATTTTTATATTTATTTTTATTAATACACGAAACATATTCACAATTGGCAATCACAACTGGCTATTTTAGATGCAGTATTTACATTTTATCATAATAATAACCAAATTGAAAAAACGGACATTTAAAATGTCACTCAACCATGTTTAAATACAAAAACAATGTCAAGTGCCTCCATCGACTGAATCAATATATCGAAGGTTTATTATACACAATGAAATTATGATTTTTGTTGTTACATCTCTTATTGATTATATTCAATGAGTGATTATATCGTTATAAAGATATCAAATGTGTAAATATCAATTGAAAATAGTTTATTTGTTGTTAAGAGGTATAATAACAAAAGGCATAAATTCAATGTGTATAATAAACCATTCAGTATAACGAACATTAGATATAATTATTGGGTAACATAATAAACTAATGGTATAAGTATTACCGGTATAATGTATTAAATAATATAACACATGACTTCCTACCTATGACAATACCTACTGACTTCGCAATTTTGTATTGACCGTTATGGTCGCAGTTGTAACTTAACTAACTTAGGGAAAGTATCAGTTCTATAAGATTATTTTTATGTGTTTTTGAGCCTAATACAGGAGTATTAGGCAGCGAGGACGCCGCGCTCGTCAATGCGCCTAAAACACTGGGATTATATTTATAATACATTATACTCAGTGAATGTTATATCTGAAATGTTTACATAAAAATGTACATTATGCCATCGGTATATTAAATTGAAAGTTGGTATATCAATCGTCTATTATACCCAATGACCTTTATATCTAGCAAGAATTCGACTGGGAACTGACAACCGATACTGTCTTAATTTTGACAACTTTACATTGACTTTACAGGTGAAGAAAAAATTGTTTGTATTATTTATACAGAATCTGATTTATTAAATAAAAATACGTAGTTTTTGAACATTTTTATTACACATACACTACGTATTTTTATTTAATAAACCAGATGGTATATAAATGACGCAAACAATTGTTTTCTTCACCTGTAAAGTCAACGAAAAGGTGTCTAAATTGAGATAGTACCGGTTGCCAGTTCACAGTCGATATGTCAAATGTTTGTATACCATGCATTATTTATACCCGTTGAGCGTTATATCGACGTAATATCTGCCCAGAGCTTCTGTCTGAGATCCACACAAGGGTTCCGATCAATGGCGACTGGCGCTTTGAAGAACACTAAGGTAGTGCACTAGCTTGACTTACGCAGTTAATTTCTACAGTGGTCTTAGAAGGCTACTCTTCCGAACATTGGGCGATAGAATTTAGAGCTGGAGTTCCTCAGGGTTCCGTAATGTCCGCAACTCTCTTTCTGCTGCATATTAATGATATATTAATTCCTGGTGCCTTTGGGTATGCTGATGACAGCACAGTTGTGGACTGGTACTTGACCAATGCAAGTGAAGAAGAAATCCAGCCTTATCGAGACTCCATGGTTAGTCCTTTGAATTTGATACTCAAGGCAGTCTCCGATTACGGCGATGCCAAACTTGTCAAATTTAATGCTGCTAAAACGCTGGCGTGTCTATTCTCCACAAAAAGGAGTCCATCCATACCGATAGCCGACCGTCTTCAGCTACTCGGAATGGGCCCGTCGTCCAATCTTAACTTCGGCAGATGCATTGAATCCATGGCCAAAAATGCAGCCAGGAAGCTTGGCATCCTTTCGAAGGTGAGGCATTACTTCACATCGGGACAGTTGCTTCTGCTCTACCAAGCACAAGTCCGGTCGCGTATGGCGTACTGCTGTCACTTATGGGATGGCTCTGCTAAATACCATCTAGCCACGTTGGACTCATTGACAAACGTATCAAGAGGCTTATAGGTGACTCGGAAGTAGTAGAGGCGAAGCTGTAGTGCCTTGAACACCGCCATAAAGTTGTCTGCTTATCGGTATTCTACAGGATATGTCACGGAGAGAGTGCGATGGAATTGCATAATTTGATTCCGCCTTCCCCTTTCCATCATCGAGGGAGCAGACGTGGGCTGGGATTCCACCTCTATGTTGTTAATATCCCCAGAATTCGCACGAAGCGTTTCGCTTATAGATCGAAATCCTGATGGCTTCGGATATCTATGGAGCCCAACACATAAACTCAAAACATTTTACAAATCAAATTGTGAAGCATCATGTTTAATTGGGGGAAAACCAAATGAGTTGTCCATATATATATCTAATGTACATATATCTAATCTCATAATTATGCCCACTGCGTGTGTATGGTATACTAACGGTTATTAGGTATAAGTCATCATTTAAGTCGCATTTTTCTTGAACAAATTCATATCTCAAACTTAAAAAGTTTTTGAATGCAAATTTCAAGTTACTCTGTTTCAAACTTCAATAGTCATTGGGTGTTTTACGCGGGGATATGGTGAAAATAAAATTGAACATCAATATTGTTTGTCATCATTGTTATTTTATGAACACAGACATATATCTAGATAGACGCCGCAAGTACAGCAATTTGTATGAAAACCGAGCGTGCCACATTTTATGTGTCCACCATGACGTCACATGAACTATTTAGTGATGGGAAACCTTCTTCAGCGCTAAATTGATTGATTGAACGGAATACACGTATTACATTCAATTAATCGATTCCAGTATTCGTTGATTACAAGAAGCCGTGAAATATTAATACAGTAGAAAAATACCAAAACAAGATAGTTATGTCCTGTATTAAAATAATAATTTAAACTTAAATTTTTAATCTACTTCAAATATTAAAATTATTGTCCTTGAATAATATAAGCTTCCTATACGACTGTCTTTTTGTAATAGAAGATCTTATCGATTGACTTAATAATAAAAACGGACGTCAATATATGAACTTGCCACTGCCTTAATAAAATTTACTAGATGGTTTTCCGTCGATGATTGATCAAATTGGTGAATGGCAAGACAACTGAAAATATTACTGCTGTCAAAACTAGGGTTAAAACTAGGGTGGTCGGCCTCGTGTAAAGTTTTTGTGATTTGATCATGATTTCTCGGATTTCTAACTCTGCATATTTGGAAAGCATCTTTGGTGGGATAAACTAGACTACTTTCGTCCTCGAAAGCAACGAACTCATACGTATGGCCAATTTCAGGTTTTTGTAAAGTCAGCGCACTGTTAATTCTTCGCATTATATATTTTTTTGTATTACTCCCAATAATTAAATAATAGTAATAATTAGTAAGTAATTATTTGCTCACTATATTCGGACATTCGAGGCGACGTGCTGCAAAAGTTATCGAAATTACAGATACTACTGATAAAAGATACTACAAAAATGAAAAAAAACGAAATGTTACTAAACGTTATAACAAAAAAAGTTATAGAATATTTTTATAATATTGCTAAGATCATAATAATTTTCGTCCCTTTGTTTTCAAAATCGATCAGAATCGAGAACAGTGTTGCATAACGTATACATCAATAAATGTTACATTTGGCCAAAAAAATGTACAAGCGGCCGTACCACAGAAACTGAATGCATTATGCAAAAGTGCGTTCGTTCGATATTCATGGCGTATTAACAAAGGATCGCAAATATATCGCACCAAGTAAAAGCCGCAATGTATTACAAATCTTGAGGCATACATTGAGTTGCATATTCGTTTTCTCAAAATTCGTTCAAAACCAAAATAATTGTTTTAAAAAAAAAATTATGCATCTTCTGATTACAAATTCACTCGCCCGTGGAAGGAAACATCCCTGTTTACCCGTTCATCCACAGTATTGGTGCTTTTGCAGTTTATAATGGCACAATTACGCATTTTTCGCGTCTTCGACTGGTGTTTATCTACGATAACGGTCGAGCGCGTTTTGAAGTGTAGCAGCGGCAAGTAAGTGAATTTCACTTACTTTGGGCACGGGAAGTACGTACACTTGCGGCGTCTATCTAGATATATGTCTGTGGTTATGAAGAAACAGTCACCAAAGGAAAAAATCACTTTAAATACCTAGGTAAATGTGTCAAAGTTCTCTGTAAAAAATTACACCTATATGACTGATTTGCCAAAAGGTGACAGATATGTGCGACGGTAACATGCTCTCAACCGCGTTTAATTAATTCGATAACGATTTACAAAAAAACTGCAATGAGAAGTGCAACAGGTATTTTTGCTAGAAGTGTCCTAGAAGAATTCGGGGCGTGTAGAAATGACTTCAGGTGAGCATTGGCTCCGATCCAACGTAATGCGAGTACACATACAAACAGTGGCTGTACCAGCGATTGGTGGCGGTATGAAATCACTATTACTGATTACATTTCTTGTTTGGTTCGTTGGCGTGGGGTTACAATGAATAAACACGTTAACGAAGATTTTCACGTCACACATTGCTTTATAAAGTTTCGTCATTATTATTTCGTGTTTATATATCGTCTATATCGTCGTGTG